CCCCCCCCCCGAGGTCAAACACAACCCTGATACAGCCCTCAATGAAATCGAGTTGGACACCCCTGCTCTATGGCAAACGGAAACCAAACCACAATATGATAATCCACTTTGGTTATCCACATCACCGACTTTCAGGGTAAGAAGCAATCTCTCTTTCACAAAAACACCCAAAAGCAGGGAAACCCACCAATCGGTAGAACCTATTCACTTCTCAACCCCGTGTATGTTTGCTGGCTGTGAATGACATCTGAGGTCAGAAAATCTGTTCTGACTTAGGTTTCCCAAGATCATGAAGCAGACTCCTTGTCCTGATAAAATCCCTTTTATTTGGGTTAAAGGTAATTCTTCTCCAGCAAAATCCCAGTCTTTCATGAGATTTCAGAACTACAGATCTTTATAAGGCTTGAAGCGTTGCCACGCCGATAGCTCCCAAACGCCATGCTGTAGCAGCAATTACTTGGCAAGAAGTCATGAACAGATCTTCAGCCTAATGAATTGAACTAATTGTCTCCTGCAAACCCCACTTCCCTTTCGCTCCTCTTTCTTCCCTATGGGAGGGGCCATTCACCATCCACCTGTGCCTTTACTCCCAATTTGGCCCTTGTTCCTCAGCTGTTCCCTTCTTCTGGCAGCTCTGTGCATGCGCACACTGGGAACAGGCTCCAGCTGCTCTTCTGCCCCACTGTGATCTCCGACTCCAAAAGCAGCTGATAACTGTCAGACAGCCCTGGCCCCATCTCTGCCTCCTATGCAGAGCCCTCGTCAGAGCCTTTCCCAGACTCCAGGACTGGCCCATGTTCCGCCCCCAACCTCCTCACTCTCCGAGTCTGCTGGCCACTGGCAGGCCACAACAGTGTCCAATAAATCTATAAGTAAAATCAGTTCAGCATATTTAGAGGATTTTAGTTCTTGGAGCAGAGGGAAAATTTTCAGATGGATGTTGCAATATAATCTTCAAAATTTTCATTTTGGGATTTACAAGAAACAGAGAGGCCTGTCTGAAAAATCTGTTCAGCATCTCTAATGTTTCTTTAAGGAAGGTTTTTTATCTTTTTCTGTTTTCAGTCTGTGCCTTTCATAGACCCTGAAGGGAGATTTTGTAAATTTCAAGTCAGTCCTTCTGTCTCTGGAGTCCCAGCCAATTAAAGACAATATTTATTTATGTCCTCGCTTGCCCTGTCTGTGACAAAACCAGGAGAAAACTAACGAACAAACAAACAAACATTTGAAATAAAGAATTAAAAAAAACACAACTTTTTCATCATTTGGTTAATTTTTTTTCATGCCTGTGCTCGAATCAATAAACCGAGCCAAAAGCAAAAACCCCTCCATGGTACAAAAAATGAAATATAAACAAAAAAGTAAACAAAGTTAAACAGTAACAAATGAAATGAGAAAAGAAAACAAACAACCTTATAAACAGCGTTACCTAAACAGGGTAAGAAAATTTCAAATTGAAAAAAAGATTCTTGGATTGTTAAAAAAAAATGGTTACATTTGTGCCGGTGGGAAATTAACATACCCTTTTTTGATTTGTAGAAAAGATACACATTTTTTAAAAAATTGGGGGGGAGGGGGGAGGAAATTGCACATACATTTCAGTATTCTTGCCTGAAAGAAGAGTACAAAACATTAAAATAAAATTTTAAAAAAACAAACAAAATAAGTGGAATTAGTGCTAAAAAAAATAAAATTATTGACTGGCAAGCTCCATCTCACCTTATTAGGTTGCAGAAAGCTAAAAAGCATTGGATTTGGTTAATAATTGGATGGGAAATTTCAAGGAAATCCAAGTTTATAGGATAGTGGTGGCAAACCAGGGGTGGGATTCTACCAGTTCGCACCTATTCGGTAGAACCGGTTGTTAACATTCTAAGCAGTTTGGAGAACCGATTGTTAGAAGAAATTATTGGCCTAATCCTGTAAGGAAGGCAGGAAGGAAACATTCTGGTGTTGCTTACAGAAACTGCCTCTCTATTGACCCTTATTAAATTCTTGGCAGGACTAGACTTCTTCTCTCAGGAACATCTCTGGAGTTTTTTATCCCTCCTTTGCTGGTACTTTGCTTGTGTGGAGTGACCATTCAAAGTTACAATGGCACTGAAAAAAGTGACTTATGACCATTTTTCACACTTATGACTGTTGCAGCATCCCCACAGTCATGAGAAGCCAGGTGAGGAGATGCATGCCTCGATGTGAGTGATGATGAGTTGGCCATGGCCAACATTTGGTCACATTACCACCAAGCCACACCCACAGAACCAGTTGTTAAAAAATTTGACTCCCACCCCTATGGCAAACCTTTTTTGGCTCCCATGCTGATAATTGCGCACACGCTCGTGCACTCGCATGCCAGCACCCAGAAAGCAATGCATGCACCCCCCTGTGCATGTGATCACCCCTGCAGCCTCCACACGATTCCCCTGCTACCGCCATGCATCTGCACATGCACGCGATCACCCCTCACCATGCCACACATCTGTGCATGCGATCACCCCCCGCGCCATCTATCTGTGCATGCGTGCGCAACCCCTAGTGTACGTTGTACATCTCTGTGCATGCACATGTCTCTCCCGTGCACCACCACCCCCGCACATGCGCGCCGGATACCTGACAATCAGCTGTCAGGCAGCCCGGTGGGTGTGCATGCGCAGTGGGGTTCTTCGTGTGCCAGGGGAAATGGCTCTACATGCCACTTCTGGCATGCATGCCATAGGTTCACCATCACGGTTATAGGATAACCTGGGAAGACGAAAACAAAAAATCCGAGAAGACGATACAGGAAGTCCTTGACTTACAACCACAATTGAGCCTCCAAATCCCTGTTGCTAAGTGAGACCTTTGTAAAGTGGGTCTTTATCCCATTTGTATGACCCTTCTTCCTACTGTGAATTACTGTGCTTCTTAAGCTAGTAGCACAGTTGTTAAGTGGATCTGTTTTCCCCATTGTCAGAAGCTCACAAAAGTGACCTCGGGATACTGTGACGGTCATAACGACGAGTCCATTGCTAAGCATCTGAAGTTGGATCCCATGACCACGGGGGATGCTACAATGGTCATAAGTGTGGAAAACTAAGTCCCTAAGTCACTTTTTTTTCCAGTGCCGTTGTAAGTTTGAACGGTCACTAAATGAACTGTTGTAAATCCAGGACTACCTGTACTGTGAAGATAACGAGACATATTGTTGTGGTTCGCCGGCAGCCTGTGCAGCCGGCAGCAAAATTGGACAGTGTTGAAGAACGGGGACCAATCTGGGAAACTGGGGAGGACTTGGATGAGGGTCCTGTGTCTAAGGCAGGAATGGGGCCAGGGCCATCTGGGAGTGAGGTGCTGACTCCGGAGCCTTCGGAGTCTGGCAGCAGTGAGGAAGAGGAGCCAGGGGAGCCTGTTCCCAGTGCACATGTGCACAGAGCTGCTAGAAGGCAAGAACAGCTAAGACAAAAGGGGCGACTCAGGAGTAAGGCTGGGAGGTGATTGGCCCTCTGATAAGGTATAAAGGAAGTGCAAAGGCAGAGAAACCTTTGCAGGAAGCAAAGTCGTTCACTCTATTCAGATTAAACCATGAAGTTCTGTGTGGACTTTGTACTTTGGTTGGTTTTTTACAGTTCATTTGGCACTTTAGTTTTTGGCAGCAATTCAAAGGAGAGAAAGGTGGATGCTTATCTCGAGGGACTGTTTGGGACTCATTACGGGCTGGGAATGAACATAATTCCCAGCACAGAAATGAAACAAGAGTTGTTTTAACTAAGCATGTGCTTAGTTATGGTCTCAGGCAGCCTTGGTCAGAACACATATTATCAACAGGAGGCAAGGTTTGACTGCGGGAAAAATGAATATTTTGCTGCAGAACTCAGTTATGGGCTTTGGGGTGAACGAAGTAATTTTCAACCGATGGTGAAAAAAAAATAATGAAATTTAAGGCTTCGGATTATCATCTCTTTATCGCCGTTCTCGATTTGATGCTTTCCAGCTTCTTTGAAAGTGTCCGAGCAACTATAAATAAAAAACCTAAGCAACTGTAAATAAAAAATAAACAAATATATGATAGGTGGGTCCAATCCTCATGCGTGTCCTATGTATAATGAAGACTCGAGATAATAAAACTGCCAAGATGATAAAATTCCTCAGTGAGGCCCCGTGTTTAAATAATAGGCCAAGTTCGATCTTTGGGTTTCTTCGGGTGGCTTTGTGTAAGTTGTGTGAAATCAGATACCCAGGTTGACCCAGCTGTGTGAATGGTTGCTATTCCTTTGGCTGATATGGCGCCTACTTGAGGCTGAAGAATTTTGAACAAACAAGCATGACAAGTATCTCTGTTACTCTCTTTTCCTCCCTCTCTCTCTTCTTTCCCTCTC